ATGTGGGTACTAATGTAACATGTGGTTATGTGGGTACTAATGTAACATGTGTTATGCGGGTACTAATGTAACATGTGTTATGTGGGTACTAATGTAACATGTGTTATGTGGGTACTAATGTAACATGTGTTATGTGGGTACTAATGAAACATGTGTTATGTGGGTACTAATGTAACATGTGTTATGCGGGTACTAATGTAACATGTGTTATGTGGGTACTAATGTAACATGTGTTATGTGGGTACTAATGTAACATGTGTTGTGTGGGTACTAATGTAACATGTGTTATGTGGGTTCTAATGTAACATGTGTTATGTGGTTACTAATGTAACATGTGTTATGGGGTTCTAATGTAACATGTGTTATGTGGGAAACTAATGTAACATGTGTTATGTGGGTACTAATGTAACATGTGTTATGTGGGTTCTAATGTAACATGTGTTATGTGGTTACTAATGTAACATGTGTTATGTGGGTTCTAATGTAACATGTGTTATGTGGATGCTAATGTAACATGTGTTATGTGGGTAGTGTTATGTGGGTATTAATGTAACTCGTGTTATATGGGTACTAAATTAACATGTTATGTGGGTACTAATGTAACACGTGTTATGTGGGTACTAATGTAACGTGTGTTATGTGGGTACTAATGTTACAAGTGTTATGTGGGTACTAATGTAACGTGTGTTATGTGGGTACTAATGTAACGTGTGTTATGTGGGTACTAATGTAACATGTGTTATGTGAGTACTAATGTCACATGTGTTATGTGGGTACTTATGTAACATGTGTTATGCGGGTACTAATGTAACATGTGTTATGTGGGTACTAATGTAACATGTGTTATGTGGGTACTAATGTAACATGTGTTATGTGGGTACTTATGTAACATGTGTTATGTGGGTACTTATGTAACATGTGTTATGTGGGTACTAATGTAACATGTGTTATGTGGGTACTAATGTAACATGTTATGTGGGTACTTATGTAACCTGTGTTATGTGGGTACTAATGTAACATGTGTTATGTGGGTTCTAATGTAACATGTGTTATGTGGTTACTAATGTAACATGTGTTATGTGGGTTCTAATGTAACATGTGTTATGTGGGTACTAATGTAACATTTGTTATGTGGGTACTAATGTAACATGTGTTATGTGGGTTCTAATGTAACATGTGTTATGTGGTTACTAATGTAACATGTGTTATGTGGGTTCTAATGTAACATGTGTTATGTGGGTACTAATGTAACATGTGTTATGTGGGTATTAATGTAACTCGTGTTATATGGGTACTAAATTAACATGTTATGTGGGTACTAATGCAACACGTGTTATGTGGGTACTAATGTAACGTGTGTTATGTGGGTACTAATGTTACAAGTGTTATGTGGGTACTAATGTAACTTGTGTTATGTGGGTACTAATGTAACGTGTGTTATGTTGGTACTAATGTAACATGTGTTATGTGAGTACTAATGTAACATGTGTTATGTGGGTACTTATGTAACATGTGTTATGTGAGTGCTAATGTAACATGTGTTATGTGGGTACTAATGTAACATGTGTTATGTGGGTACTAATGTAACATGTGTTATGTGGGTACTTATGTAACATGTGTTATGTGGGTACTTATGTAACATGTGTTATGTGGGTATTAATGTAACATGTGTTATGTGGGTACTAATGTAACATATGTTATGTGGGTACTTATGTAACATGTGTTATGTGGGTACTAATGTAACATGTCTTATGTGGGTTCTTATGTAACATGTGTTATGTGGTTACTAATGTAACATGTGTTATGTGGGTTCTAATGTAACATGTGTTATGTGGGTACTAATGTAACATGTGTTATGTGGGTACTAATGTAACATGTGTTATGTGGGTTCTAATGTAACCTGTGTTATGTGGTTACTAATGTAACATGTGTTATGTGGGTTCTAATGTAACATGTGTTATGTGGGTACTAATGTAACATGTGTTATGTGGGTAGTGTTATGTGGGTATTAATGTAACTCGTGTTATATGGGTACTAAATTAACATGTTATGTGGGTACTAATGTAACACGTGTTATGTGGGTATTGATGTAACGTGTGTTATGTGGGTACTAATGTTACAAGTGTTATGTGGGTACTAATGTAACGTGTGTTATGTGGGTACTAATGTAACGTGTGTTATGTGGGTACTAATGTGACATGTGTTATGTGGGTACTAATGTAACATGTGTTATGTGGGTACTTATGTAACATGTGTTATGTGGGTACTAATGTAACATGTGTTATGTGGGTATTAATGTAACATGTGTTATGTGGGTACTTATGTAACATGTGTTATGTGGGTACTAATGTAACACGTGTTATGTGGGTTCTAATGTAACATGTGTTATGTGGTTACTAATGTAACATGCGTTATGTGGGTTCTAATGTAACATTTTTTATGTGGGTACTAATGTAACATGTGTTATGTGGGTACTAATGTAACATGTGTTATGTGGGTTCTAATGTAACATGTGTTATGTGGGTACTAATGTAACATGTGTTATGTTGGTACTAATGTAACATGTGTTATGTGGGTAGTGTTATGTGGGTATTAATGTAAGTCGTAAACCATACCCCCGGCCGGGATTGAACCCGCGGTCATAGAGTCTCAAAACTCCAGCCCGTCGCGTTAGCCACTAGACCAGCTAGCCACAATAAGATTCATCCAACTAGGTATATTTCTACACCATAGGAAGGTTAGCACAGGCACCTCTGTGACCACAAATGCAAGTTTTTACAGACGAATCTCCAGCTAGCGTGGCCGTGACGAACTCTAGCTGGAGATTCGTCTGTAAAAACTTGCATTTGTGGTCACAGAGGTGCCTGTGCTAACCTTCCTATGGTGTAGAAATATACCTAGTAGGATGAATCTTATTGTGGCTAGCTGGTCTAGTGGCTAACGCGACGGGCTGGAGTTTTGAGACTCTATGACCGCGGGTTCAATCCCGGCCGGGGGTATGGTTTATTTGCAATCGTGTCATTACGATTTCTTGAGTAATGTAAGTCGTGTTATATGGGTACTAAATTAACATGTTATGTGGGTACTAATGTAACACGTGTTATGTGGGTACTAATGTAACGTGTGTTATGTGGGTACTAATGTTACAAGTGTTATGTGGGTACTAATGTAACGTGTTATGTGGGTACTAATGTAACGTGTTTTATGTGGGTACTAATGTTACAAGTGTTATGTGGGTACTAATGTAACATGTGTTATGTGGGTACTAATGTAACATGTGTTATGTGGGTACTAATGTAACATGTGTTGTGTGGGTACTAGTGTAACATGTGTTATGTGGGTACTAATGTAACATGTGTTATGTGGGTACTAGTGTAACATGTGTTATGTGGGTACTAATGTAACATGTGTTATGTGGGTACTAATGTAACATGTGTTATGTGGGTACTAATGTAACATGTGTTATGTGTGTACTAATGTTACAAGTGTTATGTTGGTACTAATGTTACAAGTGTTATGTTGGTACTAATGTTAACATAAGAACATAAGAAAGAACACTGCAGCAGGCCTACTGACCCATGCGAAGCAGGTCCATGTCCCTCCCCCCGGATTAGCCCAATGACCCACGAAGTCAGGTCACTTCCACTTAAGGAAGGAGCACGGCATCAGACCTAGTTGCACAAGCTAGTCAGGTCCAACTCACACCTACTCATGTATTTATCTAACCTATTTTTAAAACTACACAACGTTTTAGCCCCTATAACTGTACTCGGGAGTTTGTTCCACTCATCCACAACTCTATTACCAAACCAGTGCTTTCCTATATCCTTCCTGAATCTGAATTTTTCCAACTTGAAACCATTGTTGCGAGTCCTGTCTTGGCTGGAAATTTTCAGCACACTATTTACATCCCCTTTATTTCTAATTGTTTTCCATTTATACACCTCGATCATATCCCCCGTAATTCTACGCCTGTTACCATGTTACAAGTGTTATGTAGGTACTCATGTTACAAGTGTTACATTGGCTACAAAGTTACCTGAGTTTTGTCGTTATTGAAGTCACATATATTATGTGGTGTAAATGTTACAGGTGTTACATGGAGTCTAATGTTACATGTGTTTTGTGAATACTGTTGTTAAGTGTGTTAGACAGTGTTGTAGTGAGGAAAGTGTACTGTTGTTAAGTGTGTTAGACAGTGTTGTAGTGAGGAAAGTGTACTGTTGTTAAGTGTGTTAGACAGTGTTGTAGTGAGGAAAGTGTACTGTTGTTAAGTGTGTTAGACAGTGTTGTAGTGAGGAAAGTGTACTGTTGTTAAGTGTGTTAGACAGTGTTGTAGTGAGGAAAGTGTACTGTTGTTAAGTGTGTTAGACAGTGTTGTAGTGAGGAAAGTGTACTGTTGTTAAGTGTGTTAGACAGTGTTGTAGTGAGGAAAGTGTACTGTTGTTAAGTGTGTTAGACAGTGTTGTAGTGAGGAAAGTGTACTGTTGTTAAGTGTGTTAGACAGTGTTGTAGTGAGGAAAGTGTACTGTTGTTAAGTGTGTTAGACAGTGTTGTAGTGAGGAAAGTGTACTGTTGTTAAGTGTGTTAGACAGTGTTGTAGTGAGGAAAGTGTACTGTTGTTAAGTGTGTTAGACAGTGTTGTAGTGAGGAAAGTGTACTGTTGTTAAGTGTGTTAGACAGTGTTGTAGTGAGGAAAGTGTACTGTTGTTAAGTGTGTTAGACAGTGTTGTAGTGAGGAAAGTGTACTGTTGTTAAGTGTGTTAGACAGTGTTGTGGTGAGGAAAGTGTACTGTTGTTAAGTGTGTTAGACAGTGTTGTAGTGAGGAAAGTGTACTGTTGTTAAGTGTGTTAGACAGTGTTGTAGTGAGGAAAGTGTCGTGTTGAAAGTTGTCATCTATCAGACAGTATCAGAATAATAAAGATTATGCAAAAGTTGCATTGACAGTATTTTGTATAGTTAAAATGTGTAATGTAGGAACAAGATCTGTGTTACCTACCAGAGTGAACAGCTGAGAAGCAGAAAGCCACCAGCAACAAGGCACAAGTGAGGTATCCAGCCATCAGTGTGTCCTGGAAAATAAGTTAAACAGGTTATGTAGCCAGGTAAGGTAGACAATCATCATACTCAGCTTGGAAACAAGTTGTGTTGTGCAAGTGCTGGAAGGTTAACAATACTCACCTAGTAAGTAAAATGATACATACACTGTAGGCAGTGTGTGGGTAACGTGTTGTCACTGGTGTTAACACTACAACTGCAACTTCCCAGAGGTCCGAGCCTCTGACCTCCACCTGACAACTTTCCAACAGACACTGACGTCACAAGAGGATAAACTTGTCCTAACCTTCGGGAGTCCAGATGATTCTCCTACCGACTATGATCATAGTACAGAGTTAAAT